GGGAAGTGATTTTTATGAATTTTTGTTCTTTTGTTTTTGATCTTTTATGGTGGCTGTTTGGTGATTGGTGAAGGTGATGAGAGTAATGATCGGCAAAGATGGTGGGAAGATGGAAATTCGAGGAGGGCTGGAGAGAAGCTGGGAGAAGAATTTTTTCTTTTTTTGGTTGCTTGGGTATTGATGAGGGTGATGGTGATAAGAGTGATGATCGATGATGATGGGATGATGAAGATCGGAGTCTAAGGGGGGGGCTTGCGGCTAGTTTTTTTTGCCGAACCCAGCTCTGGGTTCCACAGAGCTGGGTTCATGAGGAACCCAGTTTGTACCTTTCTTTCGCCTTTCTTTTCTGTGATTGTTTCTGGTTATGATAGAATAATAAGATGACGATTTGATTCTTTGATTGGTTTTCAACGTTTCTTGCAAATGAATTAAAAGATTGTTCTTTTTTTTTTTTTCAATTTGAATCAACGTCCATTAGAACCATGGATGGAAAGCTCGAGGAAGATTAAGAAGGGGATGAAAATAAACCCTAAATTCCCAAAATGGTAATGCAAATTTATTTTTAATGATGCAGCGTCCATGTGTGTATAAAATAAGCCACATCATTAAAAAAAAGATTCACGTTGGATTATTAACGGCATATAGTGTCACGTTGTGCATTTTGTAACGGTACTGTGACGGCACGTTAAAATGTTGGGTTTTTCACGAGTTTTGAAAAGTTGAGGGTGTGAATAGGGAGAAAAAATTTTGGAAGATGTTGACCGTAAAAAACAATTAAGTGGAGGGTGCAAATAGACCCTTTGACCTATCTATAAGTCAAAAATGGCAATTAGGTGGCCCTTAACGCTTCAACCCAAATTATAATTAAATTTGATTTTGAGTGAAATTGACATTGGAGTCCAACAAAACCCCTCCGTCGGTCAGTTTGAAGGTGACTAGTTGGAAAATGATTAAGAGCCTATTTGGTGCATATTATGGGGAGAATTTTTTTCACTCTAAAAGCACAAATTGCACTGAACAGATCAATTTACCAAACTTGCTGCAGCTTTTGAGAAGCTTAGCTTCTCGTCGTTCCTTTGCAAAGCTTGGAAGGTTCAATTTCTTATTTCCGCTGGAGCTTCTTGCTTCATGTTTAATAAAATTAACATGATTTTCTTATTTTATCTTCACATTTTCTTTTATTTACAAAAAAGCTAGTATATAAAGGATCAATTTATAACATCACACCGACCAGCCCAGGCACATTTGTTTCTTCTTTCTCATCCAATCAGAGAAACAAATCAAAAAATCCAATCAAAGAAACAAATCTTTCATTCGGAGACAAACCCAGGAGCTGGGTTTGCGACGAACCTCACGCTTAGGTTTCGAGACGAACCCAGCGCCTCGGTTCGAGACGAACCCAGCGCCTCGGTTCGAGACGAACTAGGCGTGGATTTGTGGCAAACCCCTCCCCTGAATTCCGAGATGAACCAGGCGTGAGTTCGTCGTGAACTTAAGAGCTGGGTTCCATGACGAAAATGGGTTCGTGCAAACCCAAAGGTAAAAAAGAAAAGGGGGGAAAGAAGAAAAAAACAGCAGAGGAATGGGAGAATAATAAACTTTATAATATTTATATTAATAATTATATAATTAAATGATTTTAAGGTTATATTAATAAAAAATTTAATCATATTATTAATTTTTATCATATGAATATTTCATGTAATTTAAGTAAAAAAAATACATTTTTTCTTAATTAATATGTTTCATTAAAATTTAACGAAAAATATTAAAAGGAAGTTAAAATTTTTAAACTTTCATGATTAGAAAAAAAATTTTAGTATAAGAATTAGAAAAAGCCTTTTTTAAAAAGTAGAGGATAAAAAAAGTATTTAACTTAAATTTTAATTTAAATTATCTTATTTATGTTATTTAAATGTAATAATATTTTATTTTTTAATAT